GGCCCACTATGAAAAAGATGAAACAGTTACCAATAAATTGTGAAGTTTCCAAAACATGTTCATCATATTTTCTCTGGTAAGTGTTTGAGCTTGTGGATGAAGTGAATATATATTCACACATCGGGGACGGTTTATCGGTATACAAATCGGCCATTCTCAAAACTTGCATACTCCGTCTGTGAGGAAAAAAGGATTTGAGCATTTTTACACATTGACTTCAAAATACATGAGACTGATATTACTGCTATGAAAGCATTTCCTTTTCAACAGGAATCATCTGCTCTATGCTATACTGTTTATGTAGTTACTTAGTTAAAAAAAAATCCTATTCTCTAAACTTACTTGGATCCATTTTTTTTGGAAATAAAAATAGTTAGAAAGATGATAGCTTTAAAGAAGAGTTCGACAGATCCTTTTAGCAAAGGTCAGAAAAAAAATATAACAGCCTTAGTGATCTTTACTTGGAAGAGACCTGTGAGAGCAGGCACCAGCGCAAGCTACAATTCTTCAAAGAGCCAAAGAAATCCCTCTTTACTGAATAAAGGCACACAGGCTAATAACCATACAGCTAATTTCTCTACCTTAGAAAAAATCAGTTATTTCACACTGATCATGAGCCCTGAATGAGGAGGGTGGGAAGAAAGGAAGGAGGAAATACTAATAGTGTATGTGTATTTGAAGATCCCATTGAAATACTGAAATAAGAAACACATCCTAGATAACTTTGATCAAAAGGAATTAGGAAGGAAATTACAAACTATCTAAAAGAACAATGAAAAAAGTATACATCAAAAATTAGGGGACACAATGAAGCTTTACTTGAAGGGAACTTAAATTAAGCTGCCTTATGTCTTTATCATTAAAGATGAAATACAGAACTAAATACACATTAAAAGAAACACAAAATAGCCCAAACACAAGAAACAAAGGAAACCAGGAATAGGATTAATAAAGATAAAGCTCAAATCAATGAAACAGAATTTAAAATGTAGACAGAATTTTAAAACTGATTCTTTAGACAGACAAAATAAACTGTCACAACTTAAGAAAGAAAAAGGCTAAACCACAATTACAGGAGATTAGAAGATATATTAGAGATTACTTCATATAACTCTAAGGCAAAAAAAACGAAAAACAAAAAAAAAGAGGCAAAGAAAACCTAGTGGATAGGGACGCTTTCCAGAAAAATACAATTTGCTAATCCTGAACTAAAAAGAAGTGGAAAATGTCAATAGGTCAATTACTGTGGAAATGATGAGAACTAGAAAGTTGTTTAGAGATCTACCATTGGAAAAGGTAGAGACCACAAAGGCTCCACAATGTCAGTTACACAGGAGAATAAGTTCAAGAGATTTACTATACAGCAGAGTTAATAACAACGTATTGTACTCTTGAAAATTGCTAAGAGAAGATTTAAGTGTTCTCACCACAAAGAAGTATGTGAGTTCGAAAAAAAAAAAAGAAGTATGTGAGTTAATGCATATGTTAATTAGTTCAATTTAGCCATTCCAAAATGTACATATTCAAAGCATTTTATCTTTGTATACAATACTTAAATTTTTATTTGCCCTTAAAAACAAATAAATAATAGATGCTGAAAAAAGTTATAAAAACCAGATTGGTTAGTAGTAAGTTTTATGTAACTTTTAAAGAATGGTTACTTCCAATGTTAAACTGTGCTAGGCCACAGAAAAAGTAAATATCCCAATTCTTTTCATGAACTTAATGCACATTCAGCACTGAAATTTGACAAAGAGATTATAAAAAATGTATGATTAGTATCAATTATGAAACGTGCAAATTCTAAGTAAAATATCGGGAAATAGAACCCAGCAATGTATGGGATGTAGGACTTTTTGGGGAAGGCTGTGGTGGTTCATACATAGGAAATGTATGAACTTAGCTTGTTAGGCAACAAATTGGAGAAAAATCATTAGCGAGAGTTGTAGAAAAGGCATTTGAAAATAATACTGCAGCCATACTATTAAAAATCCCAAAACAGGAATAGAAAGCACTTAATGAGTAATAAGGCATTTATAAATCAACGATAAATATAACCCTAAATGCAAAACTCCAAAAATATCTACTAACATCAATAACTGCACAGTATAGCTACCACTGCTATTTGTTTATACAACTGTGTTGAACATTTTAGCAAATGAAAAGTGAGTAAGGAAAAAAAACTGGCATAAACAATGGAAAAGAGAGATAAAATAAGGCTTGCTTTGTTGTTTTTTATTTTGCTGCCACTAAGATATATACTTAGAAAACCTAAGAATCTAGGAAAAAATTTGCTAAGATGGCCATACTGAAGATATATAAGCAAAATCCAAGCACTTTTTTCATTCTAGTATTTAGATTCTAGAAATGGGAAATTACAAATTATATAATATTTAGAAATATAGTTAAATAAGAAATGGACAAATCTATATGATAAAAACTATAAAATCTCATTAAAATAACAATGGAAATGCAAATGCAAATAGGTTCCTGCTTGAAAGATTTACTATCAATAACCTATCAATTTTTCTAAAAATAACACATAAATCTAATGCAATTATAATTAGATTGCTCAAACAAGGTTTTTGCTTTTTCTTTACATTTTTAAATGACTGAATTATTTGGAAGAATAAATGCTGGTTAGTAGCTAAGAAAATATATGAAAAAGAATAACTGAGATCAACAGGTCTCACCAGATATCAGAACACTAACTCTAAGGCAAAAAAAACGAAAAACAAAAAAAAAGAGGCAAAGAAAACCTAGTGGATAGGGACGCTTTCCCAGAAAAATACAAATTGCTAATCCTGAACTAAATAAGTTCTTTTAGATAGTTTGTAATTTCCTTCCTAATTCCTTTTGATCCAAAGTTATCTAGGAATGTGTTTCTTATTTCTAGTATTTCAATGGGATCTTCAAACTACACATACACTATTAGTATTTCCTCCCTTCCTTTCTTCCCACCCTCCCTCATTCAGGGGCTCATGATTAGTGTGAAATAACTGATTTTTTTCTAAGGTAGAGAAATTAGCTGTAACCCATTGTAATCAAATCAATATGGTATTGGGCTATGTAGAGAAAATTTAGGGTGGAATAGAATAGAGAGACTCCAGAAATAGCTCCCAGAATATATGGTAACTTAAAGGGGACAAATCTGTTCAAGTGGAAAAAGATGAATCATTTAACAAACGGCTTTGACACAAATGCCCGCCTATTTGGAAGAAAATATAAGCAGGCTACCGTCTCCTATCAAATGCAGACACACATTCTAAAGGGATGAAAGGCTTATATGTAAGCTTCACCTGCCACACACATCAGTTTCTCCATGAAAACTCCTGGGATTTTATGAGTCAAGAGCAACCTTTTCCTGCTCCCTGAACTTGCAGAGAGCTTTGGATGTATCATCTGAGGACACATGAAGAATAATTTGAAATCTGGGAAACTGGGTAATCTGTCTGGTTCATCTTTTCTCACATATGCCTGTCCAGTCAGGGAATTCCATCTACAGAGAACTTCCCTGACAACACTGCCTAACACCCACCTTCCACGCTCCCACCACCCATGGGTACCTGTGCTGCCTCCTGTTCAGAGGAGATGGTGGTCCATCTGCTTCCAGGTCTCCCAGCTCTGGAACCCTCTCCTGGGGCCTCCCAGACACTGTGTTGAGCCACCTCCCCTCCTCCCCAGTCTGTCTGTGTCTCCTTCCTACTCACCCCAGGGCTGGCTGCTGCTCCCCCAATTTAATCCATATTCCTGTGCTCTTGCCATTCCCTCTCTGCAGCTAGTTCTCCTTCCCACAGCTTTAATTACCCTTAATGCTTAGGGTTCCCAATTGGTATTTGCAGTCTTTATCTATTGCCCAAATTCTAAGTCTTGCATCTATAATCATCCCCTGGTGGTTTCCTCTTGAACACCTTATTTCCTCATCTCTGCCAGTGGCAGTACTGTCCTTCCAAGCATAAAATATGAATGTGACCCGTGGTTCTCCCTCCTCTTTAATCTTTGATATCCAGTTGGTTTCCAAGTTCCACTCAAAATATTGTACTGGATTTCCAGGGCCACCATTTTAGTAAAGCTCCCGACCCTTAAGCTCAAACTGACCATCTAAGTCAACTCCCCCATACCCTCCTCTGCCAGCACAACCCTCCCTAGCAATACCCTCACAAAGCCCATGCTTTGTGCTCGGAAAGGGAAGACAGCCTGCAGTGTATCAAATCCTCATTGCTCAGCCCAGGGTCTCCTCCTCTTCCCACAATGCATCCTCTCACTCCTCAATGCAAAGCCTGTGTGCAGCCAAACTTGGCTCCTGGACCTGAGAGGTCTAGGACTGCTGCAAATAAAAATTCCTCACTGAACACATTGCGACTGGGTGATGGGTGAAAGACATTGGAAAATACAAGCTCAAAGGGAATGCCAGCTGCAAACATTCACACAAAGCAGCTCACACTGCTCAACCAAACATATGTTTTTTACAAGGGAGGGGGGCATAAAATATAAAAGGCATACATAGGTATTTTATCCTAATATATGAAATATATTTATAATAATTATAATGAAAGGAGTAGAAATAGCAAAAGCAACAATATCAAACCCAAGGTGTTAGCGTTTTAGGAGGCAGGTGCTCATCAGTTGAATACCACCTTAACTGTTATCTGTAATGCCTGGGAGTGCCCTGACCTGGGGTGGGCTGGGCAGGGCACTATTCTGAGAGGTGCCAGGGTGTCCCACGAGGCCTCACACAGAGGTGCACAGCACTGGCTGCGCAGGGCAGAGCCGATTTCAGACTCAGAGAGGGCTGGCACAGGACTTCCTACTCACTTTCTTTCATGTCCTTCCAAATCATTTTGCCTTTTTTTTTGAAGTAGTAGGAAAAAGAAGTGGGAGGAAGGTGCAGAGGAAGGAGGAGACATCCAAAAAGTACAACTCTCTGCCCCAATGAAGGTTTAAAGGCAGACAATGGTCTGCCCTGGAATGAAGATTCTGGTATACAAAAGCCAACTTACCTCTACTTTTTCTACTACTTGCTTCCCAAAAGAGCAAACTTTGGTGGAACAGGTGACTGTCATATTTTCGGAACTCTCATACTGACTGGTTACACCATAAAAAGCCCCGGCATCATCTTGAATATTGCAGTTTAAATCAGCCTGTTGGAAAGGAAATGCAGGTGGGAGTTATTCTCTCATCCCAGGGCACCAAGCAGTAACTGTCAGGGTAAGACTTCTATGCAGGGGAGGGGAGGGGAGGGTTGGCTTGGGGAGGTGGCTTGGTGAACTAGTTCAATCAATGCCCATCAGTCATTTTTTGAAGAGGGTGGTAATTTAGGCAGTCTTCCCTTGAACTGACATGCTACATGTATTGATTTCCTTTTACTTTCTTGCATTCAGTATCAGAATAATACTGTATGCTTGCAATGGAAGATCCACAAGTTCTTTGAAATATGTGCAGAAGACAGGGTATGAATTAGATTCATATTCACTAAACTTTGGAGATATTTAAAATAACAGGAGACTGCAGCTGACTAGCCATTTGTTATATAAGTAAAAACAGAAACTTTACTGTTTCTGTTACAAAATTACAGCATCCGGAAGGGAAATAGTTCCTATTAAAGACCAGCTTACAATGATGCTAAATAATTAACACAAATTGCCACTCACTTAACACATGTTTATTAAGTACCTACAATGGGATATTATACAGAACTAGGTATTATACAGAACTTGGTTAGAACCTAATATGGGAGACAGAGACATAAAATAATTATCATTCAGATAGGAAATAAGTACCATGTCAAAGGTACTCAGAGTTCCAACAACAGAAGACATCACTTTCAACCAGAGGTCCTAGTTAAGTATAGTTAAGATTGGCAAATCAGAGAAGGCTGGGCTGGGGGAAGAGTACAAGCAGAAGCCTGGGAGAAGTGAGTTTGGAAATGTAACTTGAGCGCAGGGCCAGGAGGACTAAATAAGGGGTGTGGATTGCATTCTCTAAGAAATGGGGACTCCTTGAACGTTTAGGCGCCAGGAAGTGATGTGATTAGCTCCGTGCTTCAGAGAGAAATGTCTCAGCAGGATACACTGTCCATTGCAGAAGGTGGCTGCTGCAGTGTTTGGTCACTGCTATGGTCTGGACATGTCCCCCAAAGTTCACGTATTGGAAACAGAATCTGCAGTGCAACAGTGTTGGAAGGTGGGGCCTTTTGGGAGGTGTTCAGATGTCGAGGGCTCTGCCCTCATGAATGGGTTCATGCAGCTACAAAAAGGGTTTTTGGGAGTAAGTTGGCTCCCCTCCTTCTGCCTTCTGTCATGTGAGGACACACAGTAAGGCCTCACCAGATGCTAGTGCCTGGATCTTTGACTTCTCAGCCTCTAGAAATGCAAGAAATAGATTCTGTTCTTCATAAATTGCTCAGTCTGTGGTATTCTGTTATAGCAACACAACACAGACTAAGATACTCACTGATTAACGGTTCCCCCTTCCCTCAGGTATCTATGGACCCCCTACTATAGATCAAGTGATGTCCTTAGCAGTGGGAATAAAAGTGTGAGCAAAAGCTGAGCCAGTCCCTGCTCTTGTGGGGCCTGATTTAGTGAGGAAGGTATCACAGCAGAGATGAGCCCCATCGTGAAAGGCACAGGGCACACGAGAACAAGCCACAGTGGGGAGTGGGCCCCCAGGGTCTGGGATGCTTCTGATGATGATGCAGCTTGGATACAAATAAAGAAGCTGTGGGGTATTCCTTAAGAGAGAATACGGGGGAGTTCAAAGGGCATACTAAAGAAAGAGGCAGCAAGGGAGAGAGGACGGCAAGAGAGCTGGGGAGGTGGGAAGGTCTGGTCTCATATCCTAAGACTGAAGGACACAGGAGTGACGAGCAGATAAGACTGGCACAGTGACAAGGCACCATCAGGTCTGCATTCCAAAAAGGCACCTCTGACCACAGCTCACAGAAGACTCCAGAAGGGAGCAGAGTGAGTGCAGACGGCTACCAGGCGGCGACACAGCATCCAAACGAGACATGACAGCATGTGGGCTGGTGTGGTGGCTGCTGGGACAGAGGTGAGTGTCAAATGGGACTTTATATTTTGTGAGATTTGTCACATTTTGGCTAATTTTCATACCTGGACAGGTACTAATCATCATGAAGACCTGAGTTATCCTATATATTTTTCATTGAGGATCTGCATTTGAATTTCCTTCTTGAACTGAGTGTCAGGAAAATATCCATCTCCTTAGCCAAAACTTCCTATTTTCTGCCTTCAAATTAAGAAAGATGTATTCTCTATATTCCCCCTTTTACCTTATGTGGCAAGAAATCCCAAGCTAAATTCAGTGCTCAGCGCCAGTAATTAACTTGTCCCAGGTGCTTCTAATAGTGACTAACAGCCAGGGCCCAGCTCCTTTTACAGGTTTCCAATCTGCTTTAACTTGTACTTGTCTGGTTTTATATTATTCATAAATCTAGTAAGCTTTCTCACATTTTGCTGTTTGGATTTTATAGGGTACAAATCATAAATAAATAAAAATACCCAGGTGTGCATTTTGCTCACATTCAAGGGTTTAACATTTGGCTCCACAAAAGAGCAGCTTAGCAGGAAATGATGCATGTCTTTCCCTAGCTGAGATCTGCATCTGAGCTACCCAAGGCTGAAGAGGCCCCTGGGTCTAAATGAGCTGCAGCCTCCAGGGGAGAAAGGTGACCAATCCCTCCTCACACACGGGAGCTCTGAACACTGAATTACCATCAACCTTTCCACAGGCAGTTGTTACCTTCAAGAACTGCCGCTGTCTTGTTTTGCTTCCACCTTAAAACACAGCTTTGAGAAAAGTGGCTCAGGTGTTTTATAGTGGTGGGATTAATGCTCTTACTATTATGATGTAGCTTGTGCCAAAAAGTTTCAGTATTTTTTTTAAAAAGTAAAAATATGCATGTGGTAAGTAAAGGGGAAAAAAATCAAACTATAAAAAGGGCATGAACCCAGGAACTTGCCAACCTCCCCACAGGTGGCACCGTTTTTAAACTGCACCCCCCCCCCTTTATTTGACAAAATTATTTTCAGGAATAATCATACGGAACCAGTGTTGCCCATTTCTCAAACATCCTTTTAGGATATTTAGCATTTAGATATTTAAACACACACATTTCCTCCTTTTTTGCACAGAGAGTAGCATACTACACTCTTCTAAACCGTACTTTAAAATATATATATGTGTATATGTACACACGTCTTCGTCTTCGTAGTCCTGGTATTGATTTTTAGTATTATTATGATCAAGCATTTCCATTTATGTTCATGGCCACTTTCTAGTGGCCGCATACTATTCCACTGCACACATGTGCCATAATTTAATACATGCTCTACTGGTGAATATTTAGGAAGTTTCTCAACAAATTGCAATAAGAAGTTTATGTTAAGCAGGAAAAGTGCAGTAGAAATTATTTTTAACTTTAAAAAATTTCCAGATTTGGAAAAGAGGAGTCACATGCTATGAACAAACTGTGAGCGAATATTGTAACTCAAACAAACTGGTTATTTGTATTACTAGTTATTATTGCTAATAACTAGTTATTAGTATGTAATCAAGTTGTTTTAAAAGACTGGTGAATACTCAAAAGCAGCATGAAAAGTCAAGCATGGTGGCACATGCCTGTAGTCCCAGCTACTTGGAGGCTGAGACTAAAGGACTGCTTGAGACCAGGAGTTCGAGACCAACCTGGGCAACATAACAAGACCCCAGCTCTAAAAGAAAAAAAAAAAAGCAGTCTCGTGTTTTTGGTGTACAGAGTGGAGTGCGGGATGGGACACAGGGAAATTAGCAACTGGCAGGGAGGCAATTAATTGGAGAGTAAATAGAGTTATGTTGTTTAAAAAAAAACTGTCAATATCAACTAACTTAAATTTTACAAAATAACCTGTCAATATATACAATTTTAAAACACCAACAAGATAAGTGTGGTATTCACCATGATTTGATGTTAGCAAAACCGCTGAAAATGTTCACAACAATCATGTTTCCATGTACATGGGGTTCCACATTTAAGCCATACTGGTGAAAGCAGCTGCCCTGTAGCAGGGACACACTTAGCAGATTTGACAGCTAGAGTGGATAATTTTTTTCTTTTATTTTAGCGTATTATGGGGGTACAAGTGTTAAGGTTACATACATTGCCCATGCCCCCCTTCCCCCCTCGAGTAAGAGCTTCAAGAATGTCCATCCCCCAAACGTTGCATATCTTATTCGTTTGGTTGTATATACCCATCCCTTCCTCCCCCCTCCCACCCTCCCGACACCCAATAAATGTTACTCCTATATGTCCACTTAGGTGTTGATCCGTTAATACCAATTTGCTGGTGAGTACATGTGGTGCTGGTTTTTCCATTCTTGAGATACTTCCCTTAGTAGAATGGGTTCCAGCTGTATCCAGGAATATACAAGAGGTGCTATATCACCATTGATTCTTAAAGCTGAGTAGTATAGAGTGGATGCTTTTTAAGACTCCCTTCCTTTATGTGACAAAATTATTTTCAAGAACATCAACATTCAATTTCAGCTGTTTAAAATTTTAAACACAAAAACTCCAAAAGCAGAAATGGAGAATGACAGAATTGAAGTAACTTGTTTCCTCTTCTTCACAATCACTATGCTACTGTTGCTCATTTACAAATCTGTTTAACCACCGGAAGAGGGAACACATTCAACCTGCACCTGAACCAAGTTCAAACAATTCCAAACTATATTAAGAATTTACTCTGGAAATGAATACTAGGCTGAGTCCACATGTGTTACTAAAGAGGTAATGTAATGGATAATTAATATGTGTGCTAATTAGAAGCATATATATGTTGTAAACATGTATATATGAAATAAAAATTCAACACTAATGCTGCCAATTATTTAGGACTTAGGCCAACAACAGATTTTTTGTTTAGAACCGTAGGCACATAGTGATAATAAAAAGGAAATTGATTTTTAGATAGTTTTGCCATTGTTTCTAAATTCTAAACTCCTTTTTGCTTGCACCTGGGGAAGACCAGGCCCATCACCTCATCTTAGCTTTACCTTTGCCTCTTAGAACTCCCCAGATAATTTTAATATAGTTTTAATTTGGAATATCTGATCTGTAGTTATAATATGAAGTATCAAA